GCGGGGGTGGATGTCCAACCCCGCCCTCCTGCCGGCTGCAGCCCGACATACTTGAAGAAATTAGCCGTGGTAGATAAAGATCCTGACTTGTCTCCAGCAATCACAATAAAGCGAGTAACGGTAAGCGTCCGTTCAAATGTAGTGGAGTAAAGAGTACATATATTCAGTCACAAATGTAGTGGAGTAGAGAGTAAAAGTTGCTTATATTTTTGATACTCAGTACAAGTACAAAGTAGCCAAAAAAATACTTAAGTACAGTAACGAAGTCCATTTACTCAAGTACTTTACATCACTGTTGCACACCACCAACTACATAGGCATCCAGTGGATACTCATCAACCAGTTCAGAGATTTCCACAAGAGCAAGTTCTCGTGCCGGAGATGAGGTCAGCTGAAAGGCTCCATAATGCTCACAATACCATCCACAGTTTCAGTTTCAACACAAAAAATAGTTTCTGCTGCAAAATGCATATTTGATGGATTTCCCCAAATTCAGGTAAGCCACCTTCAGAACCATATGCCACTATCATATCTGGTCTGTAGTTTATTCCCGTGCTCCAAACGTTTTTTGCAAGGTTTATTTCAGATACATCAGGATCTATCTGTTTAAAAGCTTGAGCTAGCTTTTCCTTCAAAACATCTAATGGGACACTGGATACATCTGACACATCCAGCACTGGTTTATCAATATTTGGAGATGACAAGTGGTAACCAATCATAAACTGATGTTTCACAGCCAGAGACAGAGGCACGTTTTTAAAGCAACTGGTGTGTTTTATAACTTTTTTAAAGAAACTGTGCTTTGCCTCAAACCTGATGGTCCAAAGTCCCACAAGAGGCCCAAAAAGCTGTATAAGTCGTGGGTAATGTTCTATGTAGTGGTGTTTGGGCAGCAATGTTTTGTTAGGAAACTCCTCTTGATACTTTTGTCGATGATCTGAAATTTTGCTGTCAAGGTAAGCGATAGACTCGTCACTGTGAATTGGGGCAACCACTAGCTCAACAAACTGTTTTAGATCCAAGAAGACCTGTTATACTAGCTCATGTTCAGGGATCTTGGGGCCAATTAGAAATGGGAGCAATCTTAACAAGCTCCAATTTTCATGGGCATTGCCCCCTATGGTTTTCCTGCTTGAAAGATTTTGTGGCAAAGTATGAGGCTTATTGGTTTTGTCAGTCCACTTGTATGGGAAATGCAGAATGGAACTGTTTAGATCATCCAAGGTGATATACTTCTTTGATATTAGTAATTTGAGGCAATGCGCTAGTTCAACAGGCACAATGCCTTAAAAAAGATCATGAGCAATGTCAGGAGGGTAGCCACTGACAACATGAAAATGAGACAGTGCTCCAGTAAAAGAACAGGCTCTTCTAACTCCAAAAAAGCTACTGCCACTATCTAGGGCTGCACTGACATGGGTTTCATGTGTTTCCTTTGTTCTGAGGCTGAAAGTTCCTGACCTAACCTCATGTGATTGAATGTCTGAAGCTTGTGCTGTACAAAAACGACAAAAGTATTGGCCTGTAAAGTTTTCCACAAAGCCTGCTATTCCATGTGCTCCTAAATTGTCAGCTGCAACAGTCTGCACTGTACCCTTCAGTGATTTGTCCAGTTGTGGGACAAAAATGCCATTAACTTCCAAAGACCTCAGGTTACTTATTAGGGGCTCTAAAACCTTGTCATAACCAAATGACTTTACATTGTCTATTTTAAACAAAATGGCCAGGAAAACTGAGGACAAACTAGAATGAGACCCTGGGGGTAGGTTACTCAGTACCCAATACACAGCACAAAGTTTGTGGATTTTGCGGGAGGTGCCCAAAGGATTACAGACCTCGAAGTCATCAGCATACAAAGTTATGGATAAGCTTAGGTCTTCCCCTGACAACAAACTATGTTCCTTACAATGCAGACCATCCTTATAAGACCTGTACACAATTTCTTTTCCAGTCTCTGTCTCTCTTTGTGTTTCGTGATAACTATCTTGTCCACAATATCTTTCCTACTCAGCAGCACTTGCAGGGATTCTAGGATGGGGACATACTGGAATGTTTTGTTCTTTTTCGCATCCAAAATATATTCAACTGGTTCAACAACATTAAATTTTGCCTTGTAATATTGCTTACGTTGATATGCAGAACTCAAAGGTCCACCCTTCTCTAAGGCTTTATTCAGAGGATTTGCTGAGCACAGAGAGGAGATTATTTCCTCTATGTCAGCTCTATCAACTTGGAGCTTGTGCTTCTGAATAATATCCACTAGAACACCTTCAGCATGAGATTTTGAGAGACAACCAGTTAAGTGTTGAAGTTCTACCAAAAAATCATTGATTGCTCTGCTTGATACATGGGAAAAATGTTCGAATTTTAACAAAGCTGCTGCCAAACTGTGCCAGATTACATCTGGGAGGTCATTTAGAGCATCAGCACTGCTACCTGGTTGAGCATCCTCACCAATGTCATCATCAGAAGTATTTGAAGCAGATTCTAGGGAAGCAAAGGTGGCTGATACTACAATTCCTGGTTTAAAATCTTTTGATGAATAAGACATGTGTTTCCTGCTCTTGTGAGATTTAAAAGATCCTAAGATGTTTGTTTGAAATTTGCAATCCAAGAACATACAAGTTACAACCTCGCTTTTCTTCAAGTGTGCATTAATGTGACTCCAGTAATCCCTCTCAGACACAAGATCCTTACAAGGACACGAATGGCAACTAAATGTACATCTCTCTGACTGATGACTAGTTTTAATAACATGACATCTATTCAAATGAATTAACAGTGCATTCCACATTCTAAAAGTGTATGGGCAGTTTGCATGTACACATGGAATACGATTGTTTTTTCTATAATGTCTATGCCTCACTTGATGTTTCAGAATATGGGACCTACTTGGAAAAACAGAAGGACAAGCCTTGCATTGCCACATTCACTCTGTAACTGGAACACTTCTAGCACCATTCACTGTAAAAGTGGAAACAAAGAAGGATTAATGTCTAGTGAGGACAAAATGGTGTTTGATTCAAAAATGCATTCTTGAAATATCAAACATAGAGAATAACAAGGTGAAGGTATACACAACAGTAAGAGGGTGACAACGTGCTGTTCTCACCACAAAAACTTAAGCCCACGATCCATCAGCTGACAGGTGATATGCAGACTTGAGATTGACAGACAATCTGCAGCGAAACAGAAAAAAATTCTAGGCATTGCAAAACTGTATTTAAATAACACAATTATTATTATTTAGGGCTGGTCCGAATACCATTTTTT